AATAAATAGAAAAAAGTATATATATATATATATATATATATATATATATATATATATATATATATATATATATATATATATATATATATATATATATATATATATATATATCATAGAGTAGGAGTTAAATTTTTAAGCATTATTCTTTAAAAAAAAACGGGTGGTGAATTTTTTATTTCCCCAGTGGGCACTAAATGATGAAGGATTTTATTCTGCGACTATATATATACCGGGGAAGATTGAGAAATGCCGTAAAATTAAAAAAATGCGCAGCATTCAAGGAAGAAGTATAAAGAAATCTTAAGGAAACGTGATTTCATATATAATTATTGCAAAAAAAAAAATTGTGAAAAGAAATTTTCTTTTAAAAAGATTTTAGAAGGGAATAATTTTTTACCGCACAAACTGTTTGCTAATCATCTACAGAATCAATAGAATATTTTTTCTATTGAATCAATTGGATAATTAACTTTTTAATTTAATATATTATGCTATTGAATCAAGTGGACATTTAACTATTGAATCAAAAACGTCTTTGACTATATTTAATTAATTAAATATTTTGCTATTGAAGCAGTTGGATTTTTAACTATTGAATCAATCGGATATTTTGCTATTTAATCTATTGTTTACTTGCCTATTAAATCAATTGACTATTTTGCTATTGAATCAAACTGATTACTCACCTATTGAATGAATTGTATATTTTGCTATTGAATCTATTGACTATAGTTGCCTATTGAATCAATTGAATATTTTGCAATTGAATCAACTGGATATAAAAAGTCAAAAGCCAATTATGTCAACTATATTATGTTTTTGCTATTGAATCTAAAAAACAGTGGGAAAAATATATAAAACTATAATAATTTAAAAAGTAAATATTAATTTTTTTTAAAAATTTTTTTTACAATTTTTCCCTCGACAATTATATTTTTTATTCTTATTAAAAAAAATCTCATTGCAAAAATTATAAATGTATTCCACTATATATATATATAGTTTATAAAAAAAAATAAATTATGTGTGTATGTGTGTGATATATGAATTGCAGAATTTGAACGCAAACGATTTCACAACGTGAGGCAACTCTTTTCGTATCAAATCACTGACACAGAACGCGTTGGATTTTTTTTTTTAAAGAGAGCAAGAAAGAAAGAAAGAAAGAAAGAGTAAGAGAGAGAGAGGGGGGGTGGGTTTGTGGGGAAAGAAGAGGAGGGGGGAAGAGTAAAGAACTATGGTGCGTGATGCATCTCCTGTCATTCGGCAGAAGCTACTGTAAGGCCTTTGCCGTTCGTCAACCCCCCGGTAGAAGAATACGCATTAATTTATATCTGCATACGTCTGTATTGTTATGATAATGACCAGGGTGTTCAGCAGCATCAGTAGACTAGATATTCTGGCATTCTCTCTTTCTCTCTCTCTTATTCTCTCTCTCTCTCTCTTTCTCTTATTCTGTCGTTCTTCGATCTCACTTTGCTTTATATTAAAACACTTTTTTTTCGTCAATCTACTTTCACACCGCAAAAACCTGGGAAAATCGTGTGATCTCCTTTTTTTTTTAAATGTAGATCAAAGTTTTAATTTGTGTATTTAAATGAAAGGTGCACAATGCTCAATTATTGGGATAGGGGATAGATATATAGGCAAATAGAAAAAAAAAACTTTTGTCCTCCTCTTCCATCACTTGATAAAATAAGAATTATTCTAATTGACACTTGTTATTCGAAAATGAATTCTATTCTCCTTTTTGTAATTATTTTTTTTCTTTCTAATGCTATTGATTCAGTAGACGAGTATTGAATTGATTCAATAGTAAAATAGCCAAATAATTCAGTAGTATAACGTGACAAAATTATTTAATAGCAAAATATCCAATTAATTCAATAGCATAAAGTGACCAAATTACTCAATAGCAGAATATCAAGTTGACTCAATAGCAAAAGAATCCAAATAGGAAAGTGCCAAAATTATTTAATAGCAAAATATCCAATTGATTAAATAGTAAAGCATCCAATTAAACCAATTTAAAGAGCAAAAGATCAAATTTATTTCTTAGTTTCTTTATAATGCTATTGATTCAGTAGACGAGTATCCAATTGATTTAATAGTAAAATAGCCAAATGATTCAATAGTATAACGTGACAAAATTATTTAATAGCAAAATATCCACTTAATTCAATAGCATAAAGCGCCCAAATTACTCAATAGCAGAATATCAAGTTGACTCAATAGCAAAAGAATCCAAATAGGAAAGTGCCAAAATTATTTAATAGCAAAATATCCAATTAATTCAATAGCATAAAGTGACCAAATTACTCAATAGCAGAATATCCATTTGACTCAATAGCAAAAGAATCCAAATAGGAAAGTGCCAAAATTATTTAATAGCAAAATATCCAATTGATTCAATAGTAAAGCATCCAATTAAACCAATTTAAAGAGCAATAAATCAAATTTATTTATTAGTTTAATATCCAATTGATTAAATAGCTAAAATCCAACGTTTTCAATAGTTCAATTTTCAAATAATTCAATAGCAGAATTTTCCAATTGTTCAATAGTAGAATTTTTAATGAAATCAATAGGCGCATAAACAAATTAATAAAATACTCTATTAATTCAATAGTTTATTATTCAATTGATTATTTACTTACTTAACTACATAAAAATTAAAACCAACTGAATCAATAGCAGTATTTTTGAAAAAATCTTTAATATTATTTTAAGGATATTATATAAGTGTATATTTATAGAAAAATATTTGAAATGAAAAAAAAAAGTGGTGGAAGATGAAAGTTTTTTACTTTTATTTTTTTTTAATCTTGTATTGTGATATAGGATTTTTCATAGCATAACATATGGTTTTTTTTTACTATATAACGGCATATGAATGGACCCGCAGTTTCCAAGTCGAAAAGGATTTTAATGAAAAAATTATATACCTTCGTCTACTGTTACGTTGACAACTTTAGAAAGATAAATATCTGATCAGGCCCCCATATGCTATTACGAGTCAAATAAAAATCGAAGACGCAGCTTTCATCGTTCTTTTTTTTATGAAATAATAATTCTCTCTAAGAAAATGAAAATTATTTTTATCAAAAATGAAAACCAAAAAAAAAAATTATTAAATTTAGAAAAAAAAATTATTTAATATAATAAAAATTGGAAAAAATCTCGAACTGTTAAATGTTTGAGCGATGGGTACAAACTCTCTTTTAACTCTTATCAGAATTATTGTGAAAGAGGCCAAAGACTTTTACGTATAATATAAAAAAAAATACAGAACGCGACAAAAGAAGAAAAATCGAAGTTTTAGGATTGGCAGATTGTCGATATTGCCAACAAATAAAATTGTTCCTTCGACAATATAAACCCCCATTCCCCCTCTCGTGCTATATAGTGGAAATTCCGCTTCAATTTGTGAGCTACTGGGTTTCGGTCCAGAGCCCATAAAAGAGAAATCGTAAAACGTGAATATATACACTACTCTTTTTTTCTGTCCCCCGTTCCACTTTTTTTTTGGCTCTATATTACCCCCCCCCCAAAAAAAAGCCAATCACTTTAATTCCCAATTGTACCACTCAAAACAAGTATATTTTTTTTTGTTAGATTTTCCAAATATCGGGAAAATTATTCACTTTTTCTAAAAATTAATAGATGATTTGAATTAAGTGGGAAAAAAACACTGTGAAAAGATGTGTCACACTTGTGGTGTTTAGAAATTCAATTTTTACGGAACTAGGATTTTAGTACTTTACAGAATCAGAGTGAACTATTTTGCGGAACTGGAGAAAAAAGTATTTGAAATTGAGGAAAAATTTTTTTTGATAGGCGTTTTAAAATTATTTTACGAAATTAGGGGAAAAAATTTTGTTAAGAACTAGGGCGTAAGTATTTTACGGAACTTTGTATAGTTTTACAGAACTACTTGCATATTTACAGGGGGTATTATTTTTGCAGTACATATAAAGTTTCTGTGAAATGAAAACTATTTCCGAAAATCCTTTGATTATTTTATGGAACCATAGAGGGGTAATTTTACGGAACACTGCTTTACTATGTACGGAACTATTTGGATATTTCACTATTGCTTATTATAATTATTATGCTATTGTTTTTCTACGGAAAGAAAGCTAGATACGAAACCATTTGACTATTTTACGGAACAAATAAATAATTTTACTGAACCAGGACTAAACTATTTACGAAACTAGCATTCAACTTTTAACGAAGCTATATTTGGTTACTATTCAGTACCTATTGATTTTCTACAGAATAATCATTATTTACGGAACTTCTATACTACTTTACGGAACTCTACGGTATAATTTAATTACATCCAGATTCGGTTAAATATCTAAAAAAAAGATCGTATAGAAATATTTTAATTTTTTGTATATTGTACCTAACTTAAATTATTTTGGTTCCGTAATTTTTTGACCATTGTTAATAAATTACGGAACCAGAATAACATAACAAAAAAACCCTTAATTGTGACACATGTTTTCTATGTAATTTTTTGCAACAAATCGAATCATGCGGTTCATTTTTCAAAAGAATGAAAATTATAAAACCTAGAAGGAAAAAAAAGAAAATTTTTCCGTTTAAATGAAAATAATTCTCACGCAGATGGTTTTTAATCCTAAAATCAAGGTTCAATGACTACATGAGTAAAAAAAAAGGAGTCTCGTAAAGCATCAGGATGGCAGGTAAGCAGGTTCGCACAGCATCCCTCGTAGACGAGGGGTTGATCAGCATCTTTAAGTTGCGCATGCGTGTCTCTCTCTCGCTCTCTCTCTCTCTCTCCTTCATTCTCTTCTTCGCCCTTCCCCTTCTCTCTCTCTCTCTCTCTCTCGCTCCCACCCTTTTTGCCATGAGTCCTGGGTGTCCTGGGTTCCCGCCATGGCGGCTGGATGACAATTCCGATTATTCCCGAACTTGGCCGAATTTAGCCGACGATTGAAACGCGGGCAGCTGCTTCTCATACTCGTCGGTCGGACAAAGAATTCTCATCGGGAGTAACACACAGTCATCGCGCGGCTAGCACACTCAGCACGGGGCAGAGCCCGCAACCAAAGGTACACGACACAAAAACATACAATATTTTCTCGTGCGTGTATATATATATACATATATACATATTTGAAAAAGAAAACCGTGCCGGTGTTGTGAGAAAAAAAATAGTTTTTTTTTTAAAAATACTGAAAATTTTTTTTTGTGACGAAATTTTTTTGAAAAAAAAAAAAAATTGCCGATTTTGGAGGTCAAATAACGTATATGACTTCCTCCGAGTTTTGCGCGAGACGAAAGGACCTTTTTTGGCCCTCGTGTTCAGTGCAAAAACAACGCGTGGTGGTGATTTTTATTCCTTATCATATTATAGAGGATCATCGATAAGAAAAAAAAAAAAGTGCATTGATTATACGGATTTCCCCCCTCCCTACTGCGCCCCCCTTTACTCAACAATAACAACAACTAACCCCCATCATCATCATCTGAAGAAGAAGAAGAAGAAGAAGAACAGTGTATTTTGTTATCAGCATCCAATAATATTCACCCTCACGTTTTTTGCTGATTACGTGTGTGACGGTACTTGAAAATTATTTCTCATTCAATTTTTTTTTTTTTTTTATTTTTACTGACCAATTTTGGATTTATTTATTTCGAGATTTATTTTGGCAAAAAATATTTTCTTAATTTTTGTGTGAGAAAAATTTGTTTTTCAATTTAAAAAAAGATTTGTGATTTTTCTATTTTTGTCTTCGAAATTCTCAATTAGAAATGTCAATTTCAATTATTTGCTCTTTAATATTTAATATAATAACATCGTAATTCATTGTTACAAGTATTTTCATTGTCAATTCGATTTCATGAGTTGTCAACAACATTTCGGATACAGCTCTTGAAACATTTTGTTTGAAGGAATTATTTTTATCAAATAAAGGCAATAATTTTTCGTTAAGTAAAGGAAAATTTTTTTTCATGAATGAAATTTTTTTCTCGATAATAAAAAACTTATTAACGAAAAGAAGAAATTTTTTTTTTGTTTTGTAAACAATTGTAAAAAAAAATTCGGAAAAGATTTTTTTAGCAACGGAATTATTTTGCAGTACCAGAAAAAAATTCCAAACGGATGAAAAGTTTTCTAATGCAAAAAAGAAAAAAAAATTGCCCAGCAATGAAAAAAATTTTTCCGGCAATGAAAATATCTCCCAGTATACCAGAGGAAAAGTTTTTAGCAACAGAAAAATTTTATAGTACTAGAAAATTATTTCCCATTGTTGGGAAAATATTTCTGGTACTATAAAATTATTTTTCGTTAATGGAAAAAACATTTTTGGTACGGAAAAAATATTTCCGGTTGTTGAAAAAATTATCTGCAACCAAAAATCTATTTCCTGTTGTTGGAAAAATTATCTGGTATCGACAAAGTATTTTCAGTTGCTGGAAAAATATCTTCTGGTACAGAAAAGACTTTTAATTGGTCGGAAAATTTTTTTCTGCTCAACTAAAAAAATTCCCAATGTTGAAAAATTTTTCTCTGTTACCAGATAAATTTTCCACTTGTTGAGAATACTCTTTTTTGGTACTGGAAAATTTTTCTATTGCTGGGAAAATTTTTTCTTGTACCAGAAATCTATTCCAGGAACGGAAAATATTTTTCCTATAACAGAAATATTTTTCCAGCAACGGAAAATATTTTTCCTGTACCAGAAATATTTTCCGGTACTATAACAATTTTCCTAGAAATAAAAAACACTTTTCCAACATTAGGGAAAATTTTTTATTAGTACCAGGAAAAAATATTCTCAAAATTCTTTTTCGAGTACAAAAAATAGAATCTCGTAAATATTTTTTGTCTAACACGATGAGACAACATTTTTTTTTTTTCTTTTTTTGCAAGAGTCAAAACGTTGAAAAGTTTTGAGACAACTTTATATATGAAAAATTTCATTATTATAATACTTGAAAAGCTGAAGAGAAAGAGAGAGAGAGAAAGAAGAGTTCTCGGTTTCAACTTTTCAAGAATTGAAAGGATTTCAACGTTTGGACGCGAACTCAAAAGGACCATTTTGTTAAAGGGACGACGTGAAAGGAGCTTGTTCATCCTGTCTGTATATATGTGTATATGTATGAGGAACTTGTCCTTCAAAACTTTTCCTAAAATCTCTTCCATGAAAGATCAAGGTTAAAATGATCAAATTTCAAGTGTTTCATGATTACCAAAAAATTGTTCTCACTTGAGCTTTGAAGGTAAATTTTCAACCAAAAAAAAAAAAAATAGGAAAGATTTAAAAACAAAAATTAAGAAAATGGGGCTATTTGTATAGAGAGAGAGAGAGAGAGAGAGAGATAAATAAAATTAAATTAATAGGTAAATATGGGTAAAAACTGGTAAATGCGGGTAAATATCGATAATTATGGGTAAATACGGGTAAATTAATGTAAATACGAAAAATCCAAAATTGGTCAGTTATTGTGGATTTAAATAATAAAAATGAAGATTTCCTGGTTGTGTTTATATTTTCTCACGTGTGAGGGAAAGTTTAAGGAAGGTAGAAAGAGAGAGAGAGAGGAGAGAGTCCAGTGAAGGAGAATCACTCTTGCTTTCGTTGGCGCTGTTTCCACTTTGCTTCTTAACAGACGTCGCGACGGGATTTCTTTTTTTTCTCTTCGTTATATACCTCGACTGTTTTTTTATCCTTGTTCTTCTCTTCATTATTGGTGTGCTTTTTTCCTTTTCCAACTTCCTTCTATGTGTCCCTTATAGTCGTGTTCTAATTAATCTTCTACTCTCTTGAGTTCTTTTCTTTGAATTTTGTACCCTTTCTTCTAAAAATTTTTTTTTTTTTCGCTCTTCTTCTTTTTTTGGTCCCTTTTTTTCAACCATAATTTCCCTCTTCTTACTTGGTGTTATTTATTTTTTTTAAGCTTTCTTTAATTTACCCTCTTTTTTTATTATTATTTCTTCTTCTCTTGATGCTTCAATTCTTCACTTTTTTTCACTTCAATTATTTTTCGTTTTTCTACAATTTTCTTCTTCATTGCTTTTCTTCATGAAAAGAAATTTTTACATTTTACATTTTTTATTTCTATCTATTTTCAAATTTTTTTCTTCTCTTAATTTTTCATTTATTCTCCTTGCAAGTGATTCCTTTTTTCTTCTTCGTGCCATATGAGAGAAAAGGTGTCATTTGAGAGAAAAAAAAGGACTATAAAGTGAAAGAGAGAGCGAGGAAAAAAAAAAACTGCAATATTAAAGGAGAGACGAGAACTTCCGTTTTGCATAAATATGTATATACAAACTCTCCCGGGATATAAGTGAAACAATGAACGTCCAACGAAAGTAAGAGAAAAATTACCTTTTAATAATTTATATTTTTTTTCTAATTTTAAATTTTCTAAATCTGATTTTTCGATTTTTTTTTTTTTTGCTCCCTTTAACTTATATTCCTCACAAAAAAATCAAAAATATTGCTAAAATTTCCAGTGATGTAACATTTTTTTTTACTTTCTTCAATTTAATCTCCCCTCTTCGCTTCTCGAAAAAAAAAATCCGGGCAAAATTTAGTGAAACTTTTGCGAACAACTATATAGATCGCTTTCGCTTTGTAGAGTTTCAGATAAGTGAAGTAGAAATCCTGAGAGAATCGACGGATGTTCAAAGGGGGGATGAAGGGGGTAAGAGGATGAGGGAGGGGGGGGCGCGAGAGTTTCGAAGAGTGAGAGAGAGAACACTGGGGAGGGTTCCCGAGGAAAGTTGAAAGACAGTTCGATAATTACAGGGCGTTTCGGAGGTTTAGGATGCTCCATAGTTGTCGGAACAGTCATTGTCTACAAGCGAATGATAAGTCAGACCTAAAATTCACGAGTCACGTTCAAAAATCTTTTTCTCTCTCTCTCTCTCTCTCTCTTTTTTTCAAAGTTTTTTCTTTCGAGGTCCCGCGATTTCGCGAAATTTAAGATTTAGAGAGAAAAAAAGATTCGAAAAAAATAGAAAAGAGAAAGAGAGAGAGAGAGAAAGATAAAAGACGCCTTCCTCCACTCGATATTCCAACGCGGCGAGATAATCTCGATAAAATGGACGAAAAGGAAGTAAACAAAACGAAAGAAAAAGAATGGGACGGGGGTTTGCGAAAAAAAAAAGAGGAACAAAAACGAAACCCACCGAGACTGGTGCGCGCCCGTAAATCTCTCTTTCGAGAGACGTTGTTCTTCTCCTTTTAACTATCATCGGCATTTATTTATTCATTGAAAAGAAAAAAAAATAATTTTTGCCTCTCTTGGAATTGTATAAAATTATTTGGGCAATGCATGTTTTTCAATAATTAGTTTTCGGAAGGGAAAAAAAATTTTTTGCTAGGGCCTCTTGGGTTAATAGTTACACTCCTAACTTAGACAGAAAAAAAGTTTCGAAAAATTGAAAGTTTTTTCATTGGAATTAGGGATTTTTTTTGTTATCCAATAGACTCAATATAAAACAAAACATTTTTTGTTTCGTTTGTTTTTCAATAGACTCGATATAAAACAAAACTTTTTTTTTTTTACTACTGCCTCTGGGGTCATCGTTACGCTCCTGACTTTCCTTGAAAACTAGTCCTGAAAAAAAATAATGTTTAAAAATGAAATTTTTTACGAAACTATTTATGGGGGAATTTTTTTTTCAACAGGGTCCGTTATATTTTTACTTACGTTCCTGGTTATCCCCCGCCAGTCGTTCGGCGCAACGCCACTGAAACACATAAAATTGAAGAAAAAAAATGTATTACCTCAACTTTTGAAACAAAAAAAAAGTAAAAAATAATACAAAACGTTTCTGTCACATTAAAAAATGGTTTTCAATAATAAATAATAAAAAGTAATTCAGGAAATAATTTTTTTTAACTTCTCTGATAAAAAAAAACCTGATAGAAAGCCAGGTTGAAAGAGAGAGAGACAGAGAATGTATATATAGTTGGTGTGAAGAGGCCGCATTAATCTGTAGTTTAGCGAACCAATTTAAATATCAGCAAGCACAGTGGACGCAATTTTATATCATTTCCGATATCGTCACTGTGTTGTGTAGGTGGATTTAAGAGCCGATCTCATACATTGACGTCTCTCTTTTTCTCTCTCTCTCTCTCTCTTTCTCTCTTGAATCTAGTTCTCACCATGATGATGATTCGTGTCGTGCTGTTGTTATCATTATTATTATTTTTATATTAACGAAGGACGTTCCTGAATTGGTAATCAACCCGTCAATTCTCATGATTAACTTTTCAAAAATAAATTAATCTAATGACAATTTCTCAATTGGGTCCCGAAAATTTTTTTTAATATTTCTTTTTGCATAATTTTTCAAATTCAATTTATTTAATTTACATTTTAATACTATTATTACTTTACTAAAAATATAACAAAATAAAATAATAAAAAAAAATTTGTAAAAATTAAAAATAGAAAAATAAAAAAATTTAATAAATGTGGCAAAAATTAAAAAAAAATAAATAAATAAGAAAAAATTGTAGAAAGCACGTGTTCTTTGATGGTAAACACCCAGTAGAGTGGAGCATTGGACGCTCAAGCGAATAACTTGAAGGAAGAAAGAATAAAAAAAAGAGGCAAAACAAAAAAAAAAAAAAAAAAAAAAAACAACAAAACACGCGGGACGTTACGCGGGCGCACAATGCGCGAGCGCGAGGCGAATATCGTGTGCGCACGTTGCGTTATAGTCGAATATAAATATATAGATATGTGTGTGTGTGCGTGTGAGACCTTGAATCAAACAGCCTTTGTCGCGAGATGTTCCACCGCGCGAGGCACCACGAGGCCGTCGAAAGTGTACCCGGAGCTTTTTTGCTCGCAACCCGCGACCGCTTCTCTCTCTCTCTCTCTCTCTTTCTCACTCACTATTCGTTTTTTAACGTTTTTCATTAACCAACTTAGCCCACAAACTCTTCTCTCCATTTCTTGCAGACACTTTTCTTTTTGAATGCAAAACGCCTTAAAATTAATGCAAAAAAAAAAAATTATTTCGAAAAAAAGACTTGTTCTTATAATAATTACTTTTATTATTATTATTTTGAAACTAATTTCGAAACATGATTAGAAAAAAGAAAAGAATTTTCCGCCTTTCTATCCGTAGAAGTTTCCAAGTCTGATCCTTTTTGCTCACCTCGCGTTTTCAATAAGCTGCCCTAAATTTATTTGAACACAATTTGAAAATTCAAAAATATAGATAGATTCCTCAAGGAGGAGAAAATTAAAAATAAATCATATTTGATGTAAAAATTAATTTCCTTTCGTCGTATTAAATAATTATAATTTTCAATTGTCCGCCATTTTGTCCTCACCTGGCGATTTTAAAAATAAATGGCCCGAGCATTCTTTCTTTAATTTAACATTTTACAAAAACAAAAAATTCTTCGCGAATGAGAAAATGTTATTTTTTATTTTACAAAATTTTTTATCTACAACGATTTCTTTTCAATTTTTTTGGAAGGAAAACGAAATTTATTTCTCAATGACGATTCGAAACAGTTGCATTTTATTTTGATCGGTTTCTATATATATATATTTTTTTTTTAAGGATCCAAAGGCACCTTCGGGGAATTGGGACAGTTCGTAAGAAAATCTGTCTCTCTCGCTCTCACTCTTTCGCTATGTGAAATTCAAAGTCATGCCGCGAATTCAAACTCAATTCGTAGAATTTTTCGTCCTGAATATATATATATATTTTTTTTTTTCATATAGTGGAAGAATTCGTTTGGGGAGAAAAAAATTCGACATGACGTTTCGTCGCACTGGGTATATAAAGCGACGGAGCGTACACTATGGCTTTGCAAACGCGCGCGAGAGTCAGTATTGAATTTTTGTGCGTTTGCTATGGTCGATTCAACAAAAGTGCATTATCAAAATGGTCTCTCTATATAAATACAAGAGCACTGCATCTACCGTGAAAATAAAACTAATCATTTTCGAAACAATTTTTTTTTTTACATTTTTTTTTTTACCATTTAATTAGAAACATTTTCCAAATATAGAATACTTTTGATTAAATATATTTTTTTTAATTTTCAATGGTAGGGAAAAAAATATTTCATTAAAAAAAAGGACATTATTAAAAGAAATGACTTGATACCAAACAGAAAAGTAATTTTTTTTTTTAGAAAAAAGTTTAAAGTACCACATATTTCATTATCATGTGAGAAGTGTTATCGACAATTTTTTTTCTATGTTTAATTTCTCACGTGATATATTGACGCGCTATGAGTTTGGCGACCTTTAAAGACTAAAGTTCGCGATATTCAAAGTCTAGACAATTTACACACTCGGAAAAGTTCAGTACTGAGCGTCCTTTTGTTAGACATTTAAACGAGAGCAAAAATTAACGATTCTATTATTAATCTATTAATTTTGCGAAAATTTGAATAGACTCGACATAAAACAAAAGAATTTTTTTTTCTAGCAGAATTAGTCCTTCTTCTCTAGATTTTGTACTCCTGTTCGGAATTTTTTTTAATCCAATAGACTCGATATAAAACAAAACATTTTTTTTGAACTGTCTTCTCTCCTTTCTGTTAACGTCCTTTTCAAAATGAACGATTTTTTTTGTTATCCAATAGACTCGATATAAAGCAAAACATTTTTTTTTTAACTTTCATCAGACATTGACGTCCTCTTCAAAATGAACTATTTTGTTATAAAATAGACTCGACATAAAACAAAACATTTTTTTTTTTTTTTAATTCTCCATTTGACCTTGATTTTTTTTCTCATAAATATTTTCTAATATTCCGTCCTATTTTTTTCTTTTTGTTTGAAAAGCATTTTTATTTTGCTGGAAAATTTGACAAGCGACGTTTCTATCAAAACTTTCAATTTCAATTCTCGCCGCCCTTCCTCATGGATTTAGAGTCACGTGAGAGTTGCTCGACAAAGAGTAAGCGAGAGATTGTGATGGAAAGAGAGGGAGAGCTTCGCGAGCGAAAGTGGTGAACGACGCAGTGCAAGTTTCTAGCGATAGCGAAAGCTTCAACGTTCACAGCTGTAAAGCTATTACGTTGTCGGGAGGGGAGGAAGGTGTGGGGGCGGAAGGGCGCGAGAAATAGCAGGAAGGGAGAGAGGGGGGGGTTACAGTGGGAGCTGGACTCGTGAGAGGTGGGGAGGGGAAACTATTGGGTTCTCTTTTATGTAGTTTCAAGTTCGCATACATGACCCACGTCCCGAGCACCATTCCCCCCCCTCCCCACCCTTCTCTCACAATGTGTACTTTTAGTTTATATGTATTCGTATAGCGACTACACGTGTGCGAAGCACGCATGTGCTGTAGACATGCTCGTTGTCTCCTCGGAACAGTGAGAGAAAGACCCTGGATTGGTGGGAGGGGGGTGCGTGAGGAGGGGGGTTAGCCAGTGAGAGAGAGAGAGAGGAGGAAAAGGGGGGGGAGTGGTGTATACGAACCAGGCAGCAGCCAAACCACGGTCGATATTTCACTGAAAAGTGGCGACGCCAGTTTCCGGTGATGGGTCAAAATCACACTCGAACATGAAACACCAAATTTTTTATTTTTAAAAAATCACTCGATATAAAACAAAAGAATTTTTTTTTTCTGCTAAAATGCTCCTTCTGATCCTCTTTTTGGATCCAATGATGTTTTGTATGTATTCAATAGACTCGATATAAAACAAAACATTTTTTTTTTTTTTTTTGTTATTAGTCTCCTTTTGAAAAAAAAGTTAGAAGTATTTTCTTTAAACTTAGATTGTATTTAAGAGAGAAAATATATTGCTCGCATTCGAGAAGGGGTCGAAGCTATCGCTATCAATGGACGTAGATGTGAATGAAGTACCTACAAAGTTACATTTGCGGATATCAAAGAGAAACGAGTAGGTGTGCGGAACGGCGAACGTAATAGTAGCCTTGACGCGCGATGTCCACGGTCGAGCAAGATCTATGACACACGTTTCACAGACTCTTCTCTTTTTCATATAACATTTTTTCCTTTTAGGAAAAAAAAAACCCCCTTTTTTTCGCACAGATGACAATTCTAATTTTTCCCCTTTTTTTTTTTTGTTTCAGATCGTACAAATCAACCGCCTTCAAAATAAGCCACATTAACCTCAAGTGATTTCTATTTTTCATACAAAAAGAGAAGAAACAAAAAAAAAAAAAATTGTGAAACAAGTGTTTTATATTGTCGTAAAAAAAAATTTCCCCAAGGAGCTTTGATAACAAAGAGGAGAGATAGAATATCTATTTAGTGTACAAAAAGAAAATATATCCAGAGAGAAAAAAAAAACTACAAGTCCGCCAGTGCCAAATCCAAAAAAAAAAAAAGTAAAACTAGTAGTAATTTTAAAGAAGAAGACAAAAACCAAAGAATTTACCATTTTTCTACTAATATCTGTGTAACATAACCTAAAAACCTTCAAAACGTGCCAGCAGCTCTTTTTGTATTTTCTACCAGCGTTTATAAGAAAAAAAAATAAGAATTTTCAAAAGAAACCAATCTACTTCACACTTGTAGCCTAAACCTGTTGAGTACAAAAAAAAAGGAAAATTTTTTGCAAGAACAGTAGAGATTTTTACTAAAAAAAATTTGTAAGAAGAAAAAGTACAAAGAAGCAGATTCAGATGACAGTAACAGGGATTTAAAGAAGGATTTTATTAAGGAAAAACTATTTTTTTTTTTTTTTTTTGACAAGGTCGACCAAAGTCGACAATAGAAAAAAAAACGAGCCGAGACGATAGAACAATGACGTGGAGGAGAAGATGAGCGCGGAGGTGAAGCAGGAGGTCATCGCCTCCGAGAGGGTAGGAAGCCCTCCGGCGGCGGTTGCTTCCTCGCCTGGTCCAGGTGATCCAAATCGTCATCTACCGCCATTTAGCAGTTTTTCTGCCGACGGATCAATGGATAGTTCAACGACATTGACAACCTTACATACCCAGGATGTGGGACTTGGTCTCACGGCGTCCTGGGATTATTATGAAGGCCTCACTGGAAGATTAATTGATTCACGTGGTGAGGTTGTCAGTGGATTAGTGCCAGTTGGACAATATCGACCATGGGAATCAAAACATGGTATCGGCGGTATTGGTATTGGTGGTCCTGAAGGTTTACCAAGTTTTGCAAGTCAATTTACAGCACCTAGTGAATCGGAACCACAATTGACGGCCTTGACGCCATTATCGCCGGCCTCAATATCACATTCACCACCAGTGACAACTGCCGTTGGATTACCTAGTTTTCATACACTTGGTACACCAATACCCGTGCCACATCCACATCGTGGTGGTGTTGGCTATCCCTTGGTACCAGCGCCCGTACAAGCACGCGAGGTACCAGCCCTTCAACAACAATTACTCGACGAGAGGCATATACAATTGTTGGGCTCAAATCCTGTACAAGCATTCCCACCGCCACCTGGTCATCCACATCATACTGTATTGACGGTGGTTAAACCCGAATATCCACAATTACATCATACAAATTTTCAAAATCCAATGTCAACGGTATTGGATAATTCACCAACGTCGAGGGCAATTGGAATTGATGGTAGGAAAAAGGAAAGGAGAAAAATTCGTGCCGGTTCAATGGAAAGTGAAGACGGTGGTGGTAATTCGGAGAGTTCTGGACAAGTTGCCGCTGTGTCGAGTACCGCGAATCGTGGTGTTCATCATATGGGTGGTGGAATTGGTGATAATGACGGCGACGGTGGGTTGGGTGATAAGCCAGCTAAAAAGAAGAGAAAGCGTTGTGGCGAGTGTATTGGTTGTCAACGTAAGGACAATTGTGGAGATTGTGCGCCATGTCGAAATGACAAAAGTCATCAAATCTGCAAAATGAGGAGGTGCGAGAAGCTGACGGAGAAAAAGGTGAGTAAATTTTTTTCTTTTTTTAGCTAAAAAAAAAAAAAAAGTCCATGGGGACTGTTTGGGTATACCTGTACAAAAACTATTGGATTTCTACTTAAAAGTATGATACCAAAAAATGCTGCCCTCAAAGTTTAGCCAGCGGATTAAGAACTTGTGATTAGAGTCACTTGAACTTCATTTTAGAAGAATTTTTTAAATAGACTCGATATAAAACGAAACATTTTTTTAAACTATCTTCTTTCCTTCAGACGTTGACGTCTTCTTTGGAATTAACAAATTTTTTGTTATCAAATAGACTCGATATAAATCAAAACATTTTTTTTTGTAGCCCCATCTTTTGCTGATCGCGTCCTCCTCTTTTTCGAAAAAAAACCTTGTTGCTCGTTTAAATTTCTATCGAATTAGAAGTGTTCCGGTCACTTTGTAGGCGTGATTAAGTACGTTGCGCGAGCACAATGCGGAGAAGTATGTACGTTGCGCGAAAAGTATGCGCAATAGAAACAGAAATCAGTTTTGTAAATTGGAATTCACTTAATAGATTCAGTGAGTCATAATTGCTTAAGGGAATTCCATTACTAGAGAGAAAGCGATAAAGGTAACCCTTGAATGTCATTGCAATAATAATAAGCCAACCATGGGGAGTTATCTCTCTGTATTTCTGTAATTTCGACTGGGGTTTCTCACTCACTCTCTCTTTCTCTCTCTATATATGTATATAGGCAGACATCGAGGCCAAGTTCAGAACTATATATAGACAGAGAGAGAGAGAGAACTCTATAAACGTGGGTCGTGTCCGTGTTTCATTTCCCACCCACCCCATTCCTATATATCCCTTTATTATCGTGACGTAGCACAAAACTTTATAGAAACGCTTAAACTCAAATGTGGAATTTTTTATGTTTTGTTAAAAAAAAAAAAATTTTTTGATTTGAAAGAAAATATTTCTTGTTTGAAAAAAATGTCTTAATTATAATTATAAATGGAAAACGAGTTTTATGAAATATCCCACCATAACGAGTGTATAAGTGGAAATATTATTTCTCAAGATTGCTATTCGCGAAACAACGATTCGAAGGCCCTTTTAAACTTTCCTCTCTCTAAAGGTTTAAGAGATTCCGCGACTAGTGAGAATCCGGTTTCTTCGAAGGATGCGCGTCTCTCTCTCTCTCTCTCTCTCTCTTGTTTGCCGTAAAAAAAAAGAGGAATCCCCTTTGATCGTGGATTGGAAACGAGATCCATTTTTCATTGTCTGAGTTTATGTTTTTTTTCCAGTTAAACTTTTAATACTCCTTTTTTTAATTTAGTGGGAAAAAAAATTGAGGTTATAAAAATTTTGAATATTTTTTTTAAATAATATTTCGCGAAAAAACGGAAGTAGATGATTGACAGTAAAGTATTTGAACTTTGAAGTCTAGAAAACGTTGACCGTGTGGATAAAATTAGAGAGAGATACATTGGCAAACAAGGCGTTTGGTTTCCATGAGAGAGAGAGAGAGTTCGATTGGCGATTATAATGACCCGAGCCTTGAACTTGTCCTACGATAAAAGAGAGATAGAGATAGAATATGCTTACTGAACTGCAAGTGAAAACGTGTCTCTATAAAATCGAGAATGCCATGAAAGCCAGGTACAACCAAGTAACGATCAATAATCCTGCCCTTATAGGCTGTCCGTTAGTTAAACTCCTCTCAGCCACCCCGCAAGAGAGAGAGAGTGAGAGAGAAAGCCCAGGAAAGATCAAATTTTGCCCCAGGCACCACGTGTCGAACGCACAACTAACGAAAATCGTTTCATAATTGAAGGGCTTTTATTAAGAAAAAAAAAAAAAAAAATTAAATTATACCTCTCTCTGAATAATAACTCTATTCATCGAGTTTATATTTATAACCTCTCTCTCTCCTTCTTTTTATGATTTTTTTCTTTCTGCAAAAATTTAAAGAACAACAAAGTACAACTTCTTGATGCTTGAATAAACAATCGTTTTATTTCATCAAGTTGCCAAGAATTAATCTTCTCCTTCGAAACAAAGAGACACACACGTGTGTCTTTGGTAAAAAAAAAAGATTTTTTCCGATTAAGAAAAAAAAAATAGAGATAAAAAAATAAACGTATGATGCACGCGATGCGATTCCATTTCAGCGGAAGGGTGAGGGGGGAGGGGTCGAGATTTTTCGCGAACAAACAAATCAATTATGACCGACGACGCCACGCTTCAATGCTCCTGACCTCACAAATGAGTCATTCGTGACTATTATGAACGGCGCGTAGGCTGAAATTTCTTTCACATTAACAACAGTTGGGAGTTCTTAACCTTTTCGAAGAAAGGGGGAAAATTTCGGTGAATGAAATTTTTGAAAATATAACATTGGGGGAGGGATTTGATATCTTTTGAAGGGTGTGAACGGACCTTTAGGATTCGGGTTTTTGGGAAAATATGACCGAACTTGGAATTCCCCGAAAGAAGGAAGTATACTAGAAACGGATTACGTCGTAAAAAAAAACTAAGAGCAGTGTGAACGAAGCTTAAGGACTGGGGATTCCAGGAAAAAGTAATCTAACCTAAAATCCAAACGAATTTCCTATAACATATAATGAAATTAATGAATTTAGAAATATTACCCAAAAAAAAAATATTCCTCATTATCATGATGATCATCATCAGAACAAAGGATCTCCAAAAAGTTTTTAATTTCGCCAATAAATTTTGAAATCTTTGACATGACTCTTGATAAATTGTTTTGGTATAACGTCTCGATAAAGGAAGATTGATTTCTGCTGATCGTAAAAACAGGAAAAGTGAACGGAGTGCAACGAAAAATGGATAAAAGAGCAGACGTGGATGATAGATAGCCTCGAGTCGAAGTCTCTCTCTCTCTCTCTCTCTCTCACTCTTTCTCTCTGGCAATGTATATAGGTCCGCCGTCACAACAACCCACCCCCTTGCCTTTTAGCACCCTCTCTTTATCCCGGGGAAGGCTTCGTGTGAGAGTTTTACTATATAGTATACTATCATCGTATCTTCTCTCTCTCTCTTTTTCTTTCTCTCATATATATGATGTGGCCGCGTCTTCATATATGTGTTTCTTTTCCTTGTCGTTTAAGTTCGGCCTTCTCGAAGGAAGACCACATTTTTTTTTTTTTTTTTTTTTTTGAGTTCATCGTACGTAGACACCTGGCGGTAAGCCACCCACCCGATTCTTGCCGACACGATTTTTATCGTCTTCCTGCTTGTTTTCGTCCGATTCATTGCGAATTAGGGGAGCTTTGACCCAAACGGCATGGCATCCCAACATAGCTCCACTGCTCTAGAAATTCAATTTTTTTTCTCACCCTTTCTAACCAATCTTCTTTGCGATTTTTCTTTCGTGACAAAAAATAAAGTCACTATACTTTTTTTTTATTATTATTATTATTATCATTATTATTATTATTCTTATTACTATTATTATTATTATTTTAAAAATTAATTGTTTTAATATTCACAAAGAATTAAAAAAATTACTAACTCTAATAAATTTACTAAACTAACTAATTTACTAATTTGCTATAAGTTAGTACAAAGTACGTTCAAAAAAATTTGAACGATAAACAAAAATTTATTTAGCTGAGATTTACCAATAATGTTAATATTACTAATTTAATACTTTGCTAATATTGTATTTTGTAAATTATAATTTTACTAATTTAATATGTTCCAAATTTAGTACTTTATTAATTTACAAAATTATTATATTACTAAATTACTATTTTTTTTTTAATTTCCAATTATTTCAATTGCTAATTTAGCAATTTAGTAATTTAGCAAGATTGTGGAATATAATCATTAATATTTAAAAAAATTTAGTAATTTCGTAATCTAATCAAATTATACGAAGTTACTATTTTTTACTAATTTTACTAATATAGAATTATAGTTTTACTAATTTACTAATTTACTAATAATAACAAACCAATTATTAATATTACTAACAAAAATGTGACTAACTATGTGTGTACGATCCGTTCTGAAAAATTGAACGTTGATACTAAGTTACTAACCCTACTAACATTTACTAACCTTACTAACATTTATTAACATTTCCTAATATTTACTAATATTTACTAATATATACTAATATATTGACTAATATTGACTAATATTTACTAATATTTACTAATATTTACTAATACTTACTAATATTTACTAATATTTACTAATATTTACTAAAATTTACTAATGTTTACTAATGCTTTTTGTCAATAATAATCCCATTTACTAATTTAGAAAGTAATTCATATACTCAAGCAAAAAATTGTGTGCCGCATGTATTGAAAAAAATTAAACCAATAAAATTTTTTTAAATTACGTAATTAAATGTGGAAAATTAGATTTTTTGTTGTTAATTTAAGGCAAATAATTTTTATGAGTTAATCAATTCATTAATCTGATACTAAATTACTAAAAAGTCAAATACTAATAAAAAATCTTAACCGAACTAATTTCTACTAATTTCTACTAAAAAAAATGATTAATTTATTATTATTATTGTTAATTTAGTAGTAATAATAGTAATAATAATAATAATTATTATTATTATTAATACAATGTCGAAACGTGTAATAAAAAATTTTAAACAGAATTTCTGTCTTTGAAATGAAATCCCATTAGGTAGATTTAGAATGCCGGCAGTTGGCTATTTCAATAAGGATTATTTAACCCTTTTGAATAGCGAACCAGGATGCCAATTCCTGCTGATTATATGAGATCGACAAATATAAATTCCTTTTTGTTGAATCTGTCTGACAGTGGTTTCTACATATGTATATATGTATGCGCTTACGCTTTCGTAAATTCGCCAGATGGGAAATTAACATATCTATATATGATCCTATTGCAAATTTTTTTTTCAACCTGAGAGAGAAAGAGAGAAAAAGGGATTAAAAAAACAGTGTCATTTTCTCGAAATTTGATTCAATTTTCTCCTGGATATTACAATTTCTTTTTATTATGTCAAGGGTTC